CTGCTACCTACATGTAACCCAACAACCAACAAAGAATCTGTGCCCGAACAGATACACCAACATTCTGAAGGTTAAATGTCTCGGGATACTATGGTGGTAGCCTCCATAGCATGCCAAAAACTGGGGATTTGGGGGTCTTCATGGTCTTTGGGAGCTTTTATGTGCTATTTTCTGATTGCACATAGACGACATAGCCGGCCTGGTTGAATTACCCCCGTTTTTTGGCTAATCAGAAACCAGCCGAAGACCACCAAACCCCCAGTGCTATAAGCCTGCAACGGAGGCTACTATGGTGGTGTTTTTGTGTCTGGCGTATCACTATCTTAAGAATACATTATGATGTTGTTATCAGATTGACAGATAGTCTGAGTGGTGCACAAACACTACTGGCAAACAAACTGAGCTGCCAATAAGGCCACGCCAGTCGTATTCAGTGGTTCGGATACCGACGAAACAAAGTAAAGAGACAGTTGTGCACTAATGCCAAACCCTGAGAAAGGAAAAATCTTTATAAAGTGTATCAAACAATGTTTATTCCTTTCTCAAAATTAGTAGCTAGATTAAGCAATGTTTAGATGAAGTAAAGTTTAAATTAAGTAATGTTCAAATTAAGTAATGTAATACTTTGAACTACATCCAAAAGTCTGTAGAAATGTCAACTCAAGGCAATGTTCTTAACCCACATTTTGTTGTAGCTCAGAGAAGTATATCTAGCCAATAAGTTAGATAAAGTTTTTAACACTTACCATGTATAGCTGCAGTAAAATATGCTAGGCAAATATATAAAATGTGGACAGGAACTCAGCAAAACACAAGCGTGTAGAAGTTTGGGAACAAGCCTTGTGCTCCAAATATAAAGCTGGGAGTATTTGTCCTGAACACACATAGATGTGTCCCACCCTTAATGCCTGTATATCAGCATGAAGTGTTTGTTCCTGCCAGGGGGCAAATAAAACAGTTAACGTGAAAAGGGTAGCATCCTGGCCGCACCTGAGAAACACCCCACACCATTACACACGCCATGACTCAATGCAAGTTAGTTAAAGTTAAGTCCTTCCTGCACCAGGTGGTGCATAGGGTGGCGCCCATCTCTGGTTCAGTAGCCCTTGGGCCACACAGTTGTGCAATCACTACAGCAGGGGCCTAGTCCACTGGTAGTGGTTTAACTCCCATACTCTTTCCCAAATGCTGAGTGCTAATCAGAGAAAGCAGTATCTACCATTTTTAAAGTCTTTCAGTATGAACTCACGACCTACTGAATACAAGGCGAGCACTCTAACCACTTGGCCATTGCATCGGTTAGTTCACACCATGACTCAAACTTACAGTAAATGTGCACTGAGCTGCTTTTTTGGTCTTTCGCGTGGAAATCATCACTATATAGCTTTAAAACGTTGCTTCCAGTTAGATGTGCAAAGGTTGGGTGTAACAGGTTGTTCAGTGTAATAAAGCAGTGCTATGCCTGCGAAGCTGGTGTGTTACACCAAAGGGCAGTTATACCGGCTGTACAGTCATATAGATTGTAATGAACTGATACAGAAATCTTCACACAACCCAAGGTAGGATGTATTTATCATTTACCCAAATACAGTTAGGAGAAAAACAACAACTGAATATCCTAGTACATAGTTTATTTTCCAAATACATGAAGTGTTGTCAATTAAGCTGAGTTATTTCATCTTGCCGCACGCATGGAAAACATCCAAATAAGGTGAGCCCAATTTCCTTTGCAGAACATGTGTACGTGCGTCAATGTGTAACAATTGCCAGAAATTAACGGCAGATGGATGCATGAAGATTCCCCTTTACAATTCTGCTGCTCTTTCGAATTCAATCTCTTCTGACTATCTTCAAGTTGTAAGAACAAAGGGTGATAATAATTTGTCTGGGAGATGACAGTTTGAAAGGTGACACAAAGAAAAAGAAGGTGAGAGCTGTCTAGTTTGACATGGCTGTGACGCCACACACTACGTCTGTTTAAGCAAACCACAGTATCTGTTGTCAACATGGAAAAAAAGTGACATTTAGCAAAAATGGATGTTAAACAGAATCAAGAGAATATATCAGCAACTAGGACAAGATAGTCGTAAAAATTCTCCACGTAAATTTGTGAAAAAATTGACAGTTTTTTATCACATTTTCAGAGCTTAGGCCACACCAATTTAATTTCTTGGTTAACGGATTTTTAAAGAAAAATAATGGAGCGGGCGGGCGAAAAAATAATAAAAATAAAAACAGGCCTAGGCATCCTATTATGGCCCAAAATGGTACGATAGGAGCCATAAAGTCAACATACCAGGCTGGTTCAAAATTTAAGCAATGAATTTTGATTTTTTAATGAAAAAAAGATACCACTGCATTGAAAGATGGAATAACTGTAACAAGTAGGATGAAAAGGACTGTTTTCAACTGTTCAGGGCAAAATATGAGCATTTTGCAATTGATTCTGAATTTTTATTTTTATTTGCAAATCAGAAAAAAATGAAGCGGCGAATCCGTTAACCAAGAAATTAAATTGGTGTGGCCTTAAGATTCAATTTTGCAGGATTAAATGTGGCAAAATTCAATTACCGACACCGATCCGATGCAATAATCGGAGGAAAGTCTGGGAAGATCCATGTATATTCCCTCCCAGTGTGCTTTGTGCAGTTTTAAAGGCGTGCCAATATGAAATATAAGCTTGGCTATAATTTGTGCTGGCGGCATGGCTTGGGCGGCAACTCATTTTCATCTCACTGCAGTCCCCATCTGCAGATAGTCGGACCACAAATTGGATCCCAGCAAGCATAAAGGCTTTTCTGACCTATTTTCAGGACTCATAAAAAGCTGGTGTTGTGTATCTCATTTCATAAGGCTCACATATAGGCTGTCAGTTTTTGAAGTGACGAAAATACTTTCTTTTGAAGGAACAAGAGCTCACGTGTATATTGGGTCAGCCTTTGTTTTTCCTTGAACTTTTTGGCCGGGGAAAATTAATGTCAGACTCTATAATTTGTATATTATTAGTTGCCAAGGAAACCACCCCTGTGTACGAGAATTCGTTGCCATAACAATTAGTATGATTATAGCATGACCAGCAACGTGATTCAGGGGGTAGAGACCCTGGGTCTGGACCGCAAGGTCATTAATTTCCCTGGCCAAAAAGTTCAAGGAAAGACAAACTAGGCTAACCGATGTGTACACGCGAGCTCTTGTTCCTTCAAGAGAAACTATTTTTGTCACTTCAAAAACTGAGAGCCCACGTGTAGCTTATGAAATGAGACCCTGCCTCTGGACCACAAGGTTAGAGGTTTATGATAGAAATTAATTTGCCCTAGCCAAAAAGGAAAGACAAAGGCTAACTGATGTACAAATGTATACACGTGAGCTCTTGTTCCTTCAAATTAAAAAAGAAACTATTTTTGTCACTTCAAAAACTGAGAGCCCACGTGTAGCTTATGAAATGGGATATACATAACACAGAGTTATTATGAGTCAGTGTTGTTGCTTAGCAGATTTGTGCACTTAGTGAGAGTTGCAGTCCTTAGAACTGAACATTACGCTGTGGTCTACAGTTCAATATACTTGTCAGAAAGAGCTAGGAAAATTTTCCATGGTACGACGATGTCAATCTTTTGCGTCACAATCAGTGGAAGATTAGCTTTAGATTTTCACATGCTAAACTGGTTCGAGATCATGTTCTTTTTCCTTTGAACATATATATATTCTGAAATGATTCAGAACTTTCCCCCTAAAACATTTATTTACTTCGAAAACACAATGTGCTTTTTTCATACTATGAAAATGTGCTGTAATCAATCCAAGGCTTGACTGCTACTGTAACAGTTCTGTTTGACACTGGAGTGGTGTAATAAAATTCATGGCGCCACTGAAAACAACAGCACCAAGGCCACATGTACACTTAAACTCTGCTTTCTTTTTCAACTAAATAAAGCCCCGGACATGTTGCTTTGAGGCTTTTGTCCTTATACTATAGAGCACCTTTTCTAACTGTAGGAAGTGTTTGGTTTTGTGGTACTGAGTTGTTGTATATATAGGCACACAGGGGGACAGACACACAATCACCAGGACAGATCAATTATACACACAAACACACTGGTATCGACATACACAGTCAAGCTGACTTAAACCATTCCTGTACCCAACATACATGTAAACCTGTTACAAGCCTACCAAGATTGAAGAATTGTTAAAGCTTGATTGCTGGAAATTTTTCCATTTTGTGGAAAAAAACTGAGGTACATGTACAATGTATAATATTATCTGTGTGAGTAAAAAACACCTGTACAATGAAGCTTCAACTACAATGATCAAGTGGACTGGGTTTTATCACAAAATCTGCTGGAACTGATTTATTTCAACTTTAAAGGTAGCAACAGGAGAAATTGATTTAAAAGGAGCAGCACCTGCAAACCAAAGAGCTTTAGATAGCGTCTTTGCCTTAGGCTGCGCTGCGCTGGAGTTATGTTGATAGATTGGGTACCTCTAAAGCCTAAATATTGACAGTATGGGCTCTCATAAGCATCAAGGCATTGTCACTATGTATTATACTATCAGAACTTAAAATACAGGGAATAAAAAAGGAATCAAAAGACTAAATTACAATCCAAGCACACATGGGTCGCATATTGGATCCTCTCTGGCCGGCTGGCTCCCCTGGTATACTATCCCTTTATTTCGGCCAATTTCTAATATTTTTCCAGCGATCCGCGGTGCCTGGTAGAGGCTAATACAATCCTTGACAGTGAACCACTTTACTTGTACTAAACTTTATGAATCACAGACTGTCACTACTTTTGAACCGAAGCAAAGCCATCCCTACCTCAGTAGAGCTGTCTCAAATGCAAAGAAAAGAAGAAAAGACTAACACAATCATCCGGTAGTAGTAGCCCATTTGACGTGTACTATATTACTATAACTTTACGAATCACAGACTGTCACTACTTTTGAAGCAAAGCCAATTTGGAGATCAAAATAAACCAAAGCAAAACCATCCCTACCTCAGTAGAGCCGTCTCAAACCGGTTCTCCTGCTTAAGACTTCGCCAGTGCGGACTGGACGGCAGGCTGCGCGGCTTCCGCGTGTGGATGGACTTCTGGAACCGCTGGACCGCCGTGACACCCAGCACCGCTAACTTGAATCTCTCCTTGCCTGACCGCATCTTTCTCTGTTGTTCTTGATGTACTTTCAGGCTGTATTGCCGCTGAGATATGTACTAGAGTTGGGCTTTTATACTATTACCGGTAACCCAAACTGTACTGTCACAGTCTGAGCAGCTAGTACCAAACTGAAACAAGGCCTGCTGCTTAACGCGCTTTATATATTCCTCCTCCTACAGTGGCCTACACAATGTGCCTGATTATGTTCCCGCCCTCCTACTCTACAACGTAATCACTGACACTGTAGCCACCTGCTCATGAATATTCATGAGATGCCTCGTCCAATCACAGCCCTCCCTGGCTGGGAGGTGCCAAGTGGTGAATGTGGAGGTTTTGGTGAGGCCTAGGAAAAAAATTTTGTGTTTCCTGTTTCAGTCCTGAAAAAATTAGGGTCGGTAGGTAGGGATTATCTTTTTCTTTCTTTCCTTTTATTACAGTTTGGAGATTCCTAGTGATCCAACTTATACAATACAGTTTAACAAACTAAAAAAACTTACATAAGGACACTTAAATTTTCAATGTCAATGTTGGAAAACTGATTGTACAATATTTCATCACTCAGGTGTCAGATCATGGAGCTAGAAAAGGTTGATAAGCTCGTCCCTTGAAGGGTCCACCCTCCAAAAAAGGCTAGGGTCGACAGTTTTTTCTAGGATCGGTCAGGAAACAGGAAACGCAACATTTTTTCTTCCTAGGCCTGAGAGTTAGAGAAAGAACAGGTGGTTGTATCGCAGAACTTATGAATTAGTCATGACCTATATTACAAATCATATCAGTGAGGCCTAGGAAAAAAATTGTTCTGTTTCCTATTTCCCGACCAACCCTAGCCTTTTCTGGATGAACCCCAGCAAGGGACATAATTTTTTGAGCTGATCAACCTTTTCTAGCTTGATGATCTGACATGGGAGCAAAAAAATGTTGTACCATCAGTTTTCCAACATAATACATTGAAAATATAAGTGTCCTCATGCAACTTTTACTTTGTTAAACTGTCTTAAACTGTAAAAAATCCCTATCTACCGAGTCGGACCCTAATTTTTTCAGGACTGAAACAGGAAACACAGCAATTATTTTCCAAGGCTTGAGAGATAGAGACAGAACAGGTGGTTGTATCGCAGGAGACAGACAAGAACTAATAAATTAGTCATGAGCTGTCAGCAGCTTCACTAATCATGCCAGTGATGTTGATATATGGAAATATAAATCATTGAGACAGTGAGAGACAGAAAACAGATGTACTGTGAAAAAAGACCTGTCAGATTTCATACACGGTGCATGATTTTTATGACATTTTGGCAATAATCATTTCAGTGTAACAGTTAGTTTTCCCTTTTAATTTTACCATATAGATGAAATGAAGTCCCATACGACCATTCGCCATGATGTCACAGCCAGCGAGTGATAGGCAAAAATCAGAAGACAGGTTGATACTGGGTGATTTGCCTACCAATAATTTGCATATGTCTTAAATACATGTAAGTTACATGAAAAATGGTGTAAACAAAGACAACTATCACTCATATACAAATGTACACATAATATACAAATGTAGAATAAAAACTCTTTTTCAGATGGAAAAAAAAAGCATTGAAAAAAATCTTACCAAGAGAGTAATATATAATAAAAATAAATCACACTTTTAAAAAGTTGCCTGAAAACAAGAATACTTAGGATGAGTAAAATTAGTATATTTATTTAGTAAGCTTGAATATGTAGAAATTTACATGTAAATTGGATACCAAAGAAACAAGCTGCTCAAACTAGTTGGCTGAAGGTTAATGTAACATCATGTCATTGAAATGTTTTTGGAGTGAAAGCCAAAAAGCTCACCCTATAACCATCAAAGACGAAAACACTTCAAATGATGCAACAAGTTGTTAGTAGAGTTTGTATTATGTTCCTTAGCAACTAACGCCTGATTGTAACATCATGAAATTGTTTTTGGAGCGAAAACTCACCCTTTACACATAAGACGAAAACACTTCAAATGACGCAACAAGTTATTAGAGTTTGTATTATGTTCCTTTTAGCAACTAATGACTCATTGCAACACCCACACGTAACATGTACAAAAGATACTAAAAGTTAATGAAAACATGTGTACTTCTGTAGCTGACATGTGCGGGCGTGACGTGCCATCTTAACGTGCTAACTGTTAGCGTGGGTGTTACACATGTGCAGTAGACATGCTGGTACATCACGCCAGAATGTACTGTATACTGTATACCTAGTAGTATTTATTTTATTTATTTCTGGGTTTGGCTGTTCAATCTTCTAAGCCAGGGCAGCCCAACTAGCCAATGCCTATTAAAAAGGGCTTGCCCTGCTGACAAGACATGACAAAACATTACGGCAACATATAAGGTGGCTTAACAATCCATAAAACTATTCTATGTATTAAAACTAAAATAAAAACTGGATACCCTGTTTACATGTATGCAGGTGGCACTTCCAGCCCTACATTTAATATATAAATATAGCAAATCACATAACACATTGTAACTGCCACTAGAGCAACGTGCCATACCCAGCAATTCTGCTTGCTGCAGCACAATACCAGTGCCTAATGTAGCCAGCAAATAACACATCCATGCCTCTCACTTACTACATGTATAAAGAGAACAGTTTGGTTTCCAATTAAAGTAAATTGTCATTTGAACCGTTAGGTAAGCCTTATGGTACCCCAAATTGTGCTGGCCATTTCACATTTTATGGATGTAGGTGGAAATATCAGCATTATAGGGCAATGAATGGCAGAAGAATGTTTCCATTATATAATATTTAGTGACTGTACACAATAGATGTATGGCCTTCAAATGTACTTGGCATTTTGAGGAAAACTCTTATATTTAGCACTGACATTTAAACTACAGCAAAATTTCAAAGTAAAATTTCAAAGTAAAATGAATTAAGTGCAAATGTATTTAGAGACTTTTATTCTGTGTAACAGAAATAAGTGTTCTTTATATAGCAAGCAATTGTAGTAAGTTGGTACTGGCATTATAATCCTTCAAAGACCATATGGCACGCGTGGTCCTTGAAGGATTAAATATAGTACCCAAAAAGAGCAGTTTGCTAGCCTTAAAAATAGGCACCAAATTGAAGGTAAATTGCCGAAGGGTTGACAAAAAGGTTTAAATTGAGGTTGGGCTTCTAACATTTACCACCTGCAAATTTTATGCAAAATCAGCTCTTATATAAGAATTACTGGCATATAATCTACCAAAAACCAGACCATGCAAAAAAAGGAGTTTGCTATTCTTAAAAGGATAAGGCAAAAACCTGGCAAAGACCCGATAGTCATGTGCAAAATTAACTCAGAGTCTTATATAAGCATTACTGGCATATAACCTACCAAAACACCACAAGAAACAGTTTGCTATTTTTAAAAGGATAAGGCGAAAATCTGGCAAAGTCCTGATAGTTATGTGCAAAACTAACTTATTAATAATAGTCTATTACACATCAAGCATTATTGGCATATACCCTACCAAAACACCTGTCCACACCAAAGAGAGCAGTTTGCTATAATCTTTAAAAGATAGGCAACATGTAAATTGCAGCCTTTTTTTTCAGGCTTTTAAACCTACATGTACACAAAACAGTCCACACAAAGACAGCGGTTTGGTATTCTTTAAAAAAATAGGCAGCGTGTGGCCAAATTGCAGCCTTTAGCATCAGATGGTACCACACTGGGATAATACGGCACCCTACAGATCTAATGATACAGCACCCACCCACATAGCAACCAGACAGAGCTAATGTTTTCTACGCAACGTTTGATGTGCAGATTCTGTGGGAGGATCACACGCGCTATCCCAATGAAGGATTCAGGACATCTGTAGGGATGAGAAAATCAAGTTTGACTGCCCACGACTGCCCATGATAATCTGATTCAAAACCTTGGAAGCTTGAAACGTACTCTGTAACAGTGAGGGGTTCATGGGCGCTACCAACTTACCCGGCCGATGGGTCTAGACCTTTTATTATAGCAGGTTCAGTAGGAGCGTCGACTTTGAAGCTGGTGCTCGGGAGGTCGTGGGTTCGAACCCCGGGCTGGGACCAGGGGTTTCTTTCTGTTTTTACTCACTCCTCCTAATTCTTGCAGTGGTTCCCACACCGGCCCTGGGAGTTCTGGCAAAGAGTGCCGCTCACTGTTACAACTCAACAAGGCAACTAATTTAAGCCCATTCAGAATTCAAAGCTCCTCCTGACCACCAACCAAAGTCAGAGTTTGGGCCATGCCTACCTTTCTGTGTGGATCAGGTCGAATTTGAGTTAAATTTGAGTCAAATCTGACCATAGACTACTGCTAACTTAAAGCCAGCCACCAGCCAACCAAAGCAAATATTAATAGCTTGCAATGTTGTATGTGGTCACTATAATTATAACAGTATTGTTCGCTTCTTGAAAGATTGAACATTTTTCACGAGCCATGGTGCCAATTCTGAACTAGCTGCCAATTTGTTGCCATGCTTACCATGATGTCACTAATATACTGCCAGCATATGATAGAATTACCTGTTTGCAGACATCAAGAACTTCTAAGTTACTAGGATGATTTGCAAGCTACGATGTTGCCCTAACATCAGAAGAGTGTAATTTTTGTACTCATCTTTGTTCATCAAATAATATCATGCTTGTTTCATGTCATCTTAAATTATTACTTTGAAAGATCAAAGTCACTATAATTTACAAAAAATGCATATCATATTAACAAGAAGCAGCTGCCTCATATTATGGCTACCAGTCATGTACCTATATTCAGCTTGGAACCAAATTGCAGGGGAGACTGGCCAGGGCTATTAAAGCATTAGAAGGCGGCATACTGGGATGATTGTACAATCCCGGCTACCACATAGGGCTTAAATATCTTTTCTGTAGCCACCAAGCTATTATTCACAGCAATCTAGGCTAAAGTATGCTGCTACATTTTGTACATGTAGGTTATTTGTGATTCATGATGACCAAACCTGAATATTTTGTAGCCAGCAATATTACAAGTTGTTTATTATAGTTAACCGGCCTGCGAAATTCATTTAGAAACTGCCAGTTGCAGGTGTCTATTTCAAGTCCAAAATTATGGTTCAAGTTGCTTAAAGCTTTCATTCTCATCATCATCAAAAGCTTACATGTAGCTTTACCTGAAATGCTGTATGACTGTCTGTGACTCTGAAACAACTTCCATCACAAGCACAGTGCTCT